GTCGCTATCCCACGAACATTGTGCCGATGCAACGCAGAGAGACTTCAGTTGAGCAATGAGAGCAGACTGGGCAGGTATGAAATATAATAGGACAACCAGACACAGAGCAAAAGATACCAAAACTTCAATCGACAATTCGAAATACACCGTATACCATTGTCGAGGATCGTCCATGGGTAAAACTTCGCCAAATAATCTCACAATGAGGAGGATACCGATCTCGCAGATCGTTACGTAGACGAAAAATCTGAAGTGTGGAACAGATATCAGGCGAGTCGATCTGTCACTGTGGATACGTAGATAACAAGCCAGTTCGAAGACACACCAAAGTCTAGAAAAGTAGTTCGGGGTCCAGAGGATGAGGAGTTGCTTCGACTTTGTAAGGAACCTGTCCATGTTGTATATTCCCTGCTTCTTAGCACTAGCGTCTCCTTGGGGTATACAACATTTATCGAGGAACACCATCTTCTTATTGCTTCGATTTGGCACAAGATATCCAAAAAGGATACCCAATAGCATGCCCATGATGCCAAGGGTCTCTACAGCGAGACAGGCTATTCTCTGACGAGATGGTAAAAAATAAACCCCAAATGACAATGCGAAAACTGTGACTAGCATGATAATATAACCAATTTTGACATACAACACAGTGATAAACGTAACGTGCTTCCAAAAAGGGCTACCGGACCAAGAGTGGCTCAAGAACACATCCAACTCATCGACAGGCTTAGATAGACCAAAAGTCTCGTCCGAACCTTCCGCGCCTCGAAACAAACTCCAGTTTCGACTGATTTTACGCATTTCAACACCTCTCAGCGTCGTGAACTCCGGACCGTAGGTTGATGTTGAATCGGCATGACAGCCCGCGTATTGCTTTATGCTATCCTTGGAATTCATAGAAAATACTCAACAGATAACACCTACGACAATCCAGCCTTGACAGTGTATACAATACACAGCAGATACAGTCTAATAGGATCCCCACACCCGCAATTCATCTAACTGTGGCAAAGAAGCACTTGGCGAACTGACTACGGCAATTATTAGTAATCAGTGATTACATTAACCCAACTGCCTGTTCGTGCACGTATGCATGAATCTCGCTCGCCCATTACTCGCTGTGTGCCTCATTCACGGTGGCGCAAGTTGTAAATCTCGCTCGCCCTAAATTAACTAGTTGAAACGTTGCTGGTCGTTACGGCTTTTTCGTGAAGCCTTCCAAGAGCCTTCATTGAGATCTTTGAGTGATCTGCGGGGACTATCTTGTAGTTAGTTGGGGAAGCCGCACATTTCCTACAACCACAGAGTTCGGGTGAGCGCAGCAGAAGGCCAGACCGAAACACCAGACTGCAAACCTGCGGCCCGTAAACCAGGAACCGGAGACTGTCTTGACGGAGGTCGTAGTCTACGACGTCCAGTTCCAGGGTGGGGCCGTAGGTATGTTGAGGTCTATGAGCCTCTACTGCGAGATGACCACGAAAGCAAACTAAAAGCAAACTCGTGTATCATCTCCACCAACTGCACTTCACCCGAACTCGTTTTATCGCTCGAACACAACACGAAAACTTGGACGAGATTCTCGTCACGAGAAACCATGGAGGTGGCCAAACGTACCGGCAGCTATGAGTTAAAGATTCACTCTTTGATCATAGAGCATGATGCTAGTTTTGCCTTGTCCTCCGCACTGTCGTGCAGACTCTCGAGGACCGCCGCGGAACGCCATCTTCCCGCCCTCATGAAGGTCGGGGAGTCTGCTGGCCATGATCTGTGCAGGAGTTGGGCGCCAGTTCGCCGGAGGGTGTGAGTTCCATAGTCGTTCACAGTTTCGTGTCCGATGATGGGACCGAGCCTTTTACGCACCTGATCTAGGAATCGATCATATCTAATCGAGAATACTCGCTCCTCGGGAGAGAATCTTGGGGGCTTGGTTGTTAGGACGGCGTGTACGGGAAGCAACTCACACGGATCACTCGTCACATCCTCTATCTGGAATGAACGAACAGCCTCGGCGGTACAGGCAATGTACGCCAACTGCCCAACTCCGCACTGATCAGTCTTCGATCGCCTGATTTTTATACTCAAGAGCGGGGTTGACGAAGTGCCATCAACATTGGAGAAGGATAGATGACCCCAGCGGAGGTTCAGCAGCCCGTCAGCCCTCAACAGAGCGAAGATTCCCACCAACATAGCTCGCGAGAAGATGTCTTCACGTGGTAAGTTGTTGCGGAAAACCTTGAGCGACTCAGGCCTCGACACTGGACGCATCTTCCTCACCGGTTGACCTCCCGAAGCCTTGCGCGCTGGCTTTAGAATGTGAGAAACCTGAAATTCTTCTCCTGGTGTTAACCAGAAACAAGCAGCTTTATTTCTCGACGCAGAGGCTCTGCGGCAGAGCTGACTCAAACGTAATTATCGAGTTATCCGCATAGCTGCATGAGGTGAGAGCCCATACAAAAAGGGAGAGATCCGGTATGCGAAGAGGAAATGCTTTGCCACCGACGACTTCTTCAAAGAAGGTAACGGTAGAGTCGTAGAGCTGATTGGTGCTCGAAGCAAGACCAGAGGTTGCGAAGGTATCCGCGAGAGCCAGTGCCTCGTCGCGGTCGAACTGACCCAGGAAGGCTCGTACCATGGCGCGTTTGGACTTAGATGACGCCGGGCCGCCCGGCCCGGGCGTCCGATGCTCTCTGGCGAAGTTGCGAGGGGAGACGGGTTCGACGTCCTCACCTGACCAGTGGAACTGAAGGGGGTAGTAGTGATCCGGCTAACCGAGGCCAGGGCTGGAGTGATCGACTTGGAACGCAACAGCAGAGACTGGTCTGAAACAGGGCGCGCATGCGGCACAATTCATGAGAGGGGGGAGGGGGAACCACTGCGTATTGGGGAAGGTGAGGATAGCCCTGCTCCGCTAAGCTGGATCGGGATCCGTTTGCACATCTCCTGGGGCTACAATCTCAGACGTAAGAACGTCACTCAAACTTATCATGATGCGGCGCCAGTGAGGCGGGACGTCGTCGAGGACATCCCTCGATATGTTGTCTGCCCGCCAGTTCTCGGATGAGGAGACATGAGCAAGGACCAGACGGTCAGTGAAGCGGCCAAACCAGTGTGCTGCACACTGTGTACAACACCACGGAGGACAGCTGCAAGCGCCGGTTTCGGAGAGTACAACTTCCTCAACATTCCGATGGCACCCTTGTTATCACAGAATAGCACTACCGTTCGGTAGAGATACGGAACTGACCTGCCCGGATCGGCCGAAGATACCATTGAGGCCGCCAGATGCAGAGAGATTACAGAGGCAATAAGTTCCAAGAGAGCGATGTCCCTGTGCGATGGCACACCATCATCGCCTTCGGCCAGCAGCTTGGCCCATTCGCATAGGGACTCCGAGTCAGCCTTCAGTTGGAACCATAACCCTCTATCGCCATCGGATACCCAACCCCCCCATGAACTTCGTGGACGCGTCCGACGCCAGTACCAGATGAGACCCAGCAGGATGGGGCAAGCCTATTGGCATGCGAGAACGCGGATGCTCGGCTATACCGAGCCAGAAGAGTACCGAACCGAATGTCTTCGACGAGGTTCTCAGTTTGATCGAACGTAGGTGTTTCTTTTCAAATACGTTCAGAATGGCATACAGCGGCTGCAAGAAGCTCTTCAAATGCCCCATAGCTTGGTAGGCAAATACTAGCTCCCCCAGCACCTTACTCAGCGAAGCAGGCATCATATACCCCTTATCGGCGAAGGAGAGGAGGATGTCTCGAATTGAAGAACATATGTCGGGGTGAACCCCAACTTCCGCCTTACCCCCTGGCAACAACACCGCCTCATAGCCTATGAACTTCACGGCGCGAACGCCGAACTGGCACTTACGCCAGTTCATCTCGAAGTTCAGGCATCGCCAGACCAGTAGCGTCAGGTCCTGACGGTCCGATAGATCCGACTGTGTAGCAGGGCTGCGGTAGCGCCACTAGACCGTCGTCAACGTAGACGAAAGAGAGAAACTTGACGTGGCCGAGGATGAGCCTCAACAGCGAGGCCACTATATGGCTGATCGCCGCGCTGGTGCGGCACCACTGGAAAGGGGAGGTCCCCGCCCTGAAGGGCAATGCCAGGTTCTCGGAAACCTCTTGATCAAGTCGAACCGATGTCCTAGCCATTTCTACATCATTGAGAGACAAGTGACGATACGCTGAGGCGATGTCAAACTTCAGAAACACATAGTCATAGGGGCCCTTGGCCGTCCGATCCCGACCACACTGGCAGGAGCTACTCGGTGAACACCCACAAAGCAGATCCGAGAGACCACTGCGGATTTCTTGGCCCCTCGGCAACAAACACGTCTCGGAGAGCTTGCACATACCGTTCAAGCCTGACCGAGAGTGGTCCTCTATCAACCTATACTCGTGGTCGCCCTTGGGTATGAGGGCCATCTTCGCATAGAGCCGATGGGATGCATAGGCCGCCTGTGCAAGAGAGAGCCGCCTCATGCGACCTAAAGCAACCTCTTTACAGAGTATCACCCGACAGACTTCAGGCTGCGTCTCAAAAAGAGAAGTTTCGATAGGATCGCTTGAGGTTAAAGACCTTCATCGATTTATCGAGGTCCTTCTTCGACTTTGCCTTAAGGAACACACCCGTCGGAGGAATCGGAGGATCCACTACGAGATTCAGACCCTGATCGATCTCGACGAACAAGTGAGAATCGGGATCGTTAGTGGCCATTGCCAAGGCTTCCCAAGCTTTGCTCGAATGGGACTACCACAAGCCGATAGACCGTCAGAGCACTTTAGAGCGGCACAGAGCTGGGGATTCCCAAATTGGGAACCAGCGATTCCACGGCTGACTGGAAGGAATTCTCAAGCTCTTCAACCTGTTCAGGCGAAGGCAAACCAGCAAGGTCTCGGAGACAACCTCTAGCTTCCATAGACGAAGCTTCCTCGAGTAAGATCTCAGGCACTCTCGAGGGACCAGGAGGACACAAACCCTAAGCGAACGCTGATGGCTTAGTGACACCCAGGCCTGTTCCATCCTGATATCCCATACGTGTCTCGTTCTTTTCAATGGCTTCGACTGCTCTCTGCTGCAGCCATGATACGTGTTCGATTGCCGCTGAGGCCCCAGGCCGTTTCCTGTGATCTGAAGACCACTCGCACTACTGGTAAACTCAACCGGCACATTCTCAAAACGAGAAACCGACGACACACGTCTTACTATCATGCCGATCACACAGAAGGCCAACCCTCAGGTCCTGAGGCTCAGGAGTCGAAAGCTCAACCGGACTTACCAGAAGACTCTTCTGAGAAGAGGCTCTCTCGTCCTCCTTGCCCGCGACTTTCCGCTGGGTCTCCCCGGAAGGCTTCGCTTCCGCCGTGGACTCACCAGACACCTTTCTAGGGCCACTCGAGTGACGAAAGCGGCAGTTTTTTCCAAAGCGACAGATACCGTCGCGAAAAGCGTAGCAGATGCCAAACTTCGATCCCTGTTTATTCAAGAGGTTGTTGGAGCTGTCCCGAGACGCCATTCTGGACCGATTGAAGGAGAACTCAGCTAGCAGGGTTGGGTAGGCATCGCCAACGAAGCAGTCACGCATTGAGCGGCTAGACGAGGCCGCCATCAAAGAAGCCACCGATCTTCGGTACTTATCGTAGTAGAGAACCAATTCTTCAGCCGGGAGTGCTTCGTTGAATGACAGCAACCGCAGAAGATAAGACGCCACATCCAAAGCAGATAGATCGTCCGGATTGACAACAGCTGCAACGAGCAGGGCATACCTCAGGTCGCAGTGAACAAGCTCCTTGATAGAACCGATGTTTTTACTCTTGTTGAGTCCCAAAAAAAGGGTTCTGAGTCAGAACCCTTTTTCGGGTGAGAACTTCTGATCTTTCTCGGCTTTGCTGACGTTGAAGTTGAAGAGCTTCTCGCCATTAGTTTTGGTGGAGGAATCCTTCGGCAGCAGGGCACAGAAGGAGAGATAATGAGTCATTATCAATGACCATTGTCCTTGTCGCGAATTTGGGAGACAATCTCGTTAGAGACGCCGTGTAGAGCAGAGGGTGGTAAAGTGGTCTTGTAGCTAGCGGCCACGGCCGAGATGAGCTGAGGCACGTCGAGGGAGGAGCCGGACTGCTTGAACTGGGAGTCGATCGCCACTTTACGACGCTTCTTAACGAAGGCAGCAATATCAGCCCTCACCGCTGACATGGCTGCGCCTGCCGCGATCGATAGACCCTCACAGGCTCCGTCGAAGAAGGTGGAAGACAGATTGCCGATGAGACTTGTAGAGGTGAGACCATGGCGAGAGAGTGCCTCCAGGATCTCCTTCTCGACGTCGGAGGATGGGCAAACCGAGTGCACGATGGAGCGTACATCTTCGTTTACTTCACACTTGTTGGCGTTGTCTTCGGCGGGAAGAAATATTTGCGTAAATAAGAGCAAATGCGTTGACACAATTCATTCTTGCAAGCCTCCGCGGGGATCATATTGCATTTGAGAGCTTCCTGTTTGCTGAATAATTCAGCAAACTGTTTGCTGCAAACAGGAAGTTCTCAAATAATTCACTAATTCAGCCTTAATTAACTACTGCGAACTCTGCCGCGGATCGTGCTGGTCATTATATGCGAGTGAATTCATATACCGGCGACCGTCAACAGTAGCTCGTTCGATTATCGGGTAATCATTCCCCCTTTATGCTGCATCGTGACGGGCCTCAAGATTATCGTATAATACGATTGGTATTCCATGATGGAATACGATGAATTCGATGGAATTTCCATCCCTAGCTTAGATTTGGAGGCCGACTCCACTTGTAATCAATAGACTTCCTCTGAGAAGGCCTCGAAGTGGGAGCTTCCATTCAAACATTTACCGGAAAGAGTGGGCCATCCCGAATCCTACATTGTAGAATTCAGGATGGCTAAGTGTAGAATATACATTGAGCTAATCATCAGCTGACAAGGGCAAGGTCATTGCCATTCCATTTTGGATCAAAGTCTCTGACAGTCTCGCCTGGTCATGGTCCGCAATAGACCGCCCACCTATGACTGCCAGTCATGCTGAACTTCAGCAGCTGAAGAATCTGCAGTCTGTTCGATTTTGAATCAAAATGCTGCATTTCCTCGTTCCGGACTATCAAAATTTTTGATAGTCCAAAACGAGGAAATGTTGCAAGTTTAACTTACAACACGAAAGTTACAACTTGTTACTTCGCTAATTCAACGCTAAGGAATCTGGAACCTCGAACATTTTACATGGGCCTCGGGAAGCTTTTAACCGGGAAAGAACTGGCACAGGGGAAGTCGCCACTGGTCTGGGCCGATCTGAACGTACATTCACGAGGTACTCAGCTAGCCCAGGTCATCGCTACTTCTTGGGAAGCTAAGTTGTCTCGCTTGTCCTGAAGTCCACTAAGGTGTCACTAGCATCCAAGGAGTCTATCATAAAACGTGTTGTCCTCGCTGCGGCACTATACGGTCTGGAGACTGCTCCCTACCATGAAAAGTCGTTGAGGCGTCTCGGCGGGCTCCCAAATCGCTGTAGGAGAATGTCCTTAGGACTGACCCTCAGAGATAGGGTGCATGGAGAGCAACTTTGGGAAAGACTTCCTCTTGTTGATCCGAAACATGTTTGCTTCTCACAACGAAACCCGCTGATGGTCTTGTGGTGAGATCTTGTAGGCTCAAGCTTATTAAGAGACGTGGTAGGCTACGATGTGGCAGAGCCAACCTGTTCAGGCCTTGCAAGTCACTCGTTGAAGCACTTGTGGTGGCTAGGGAGTTATATAAAACTCCTATCCCTACTGTATCGAGAGCGCCGAAAATATTTACTTCAAGTAAATTACTTGTTCACGTTGTGAGCGCTGTGGCAAGAAGTTGAGCTCTGCGTAGCAGAAGTGGCGTTTAAACGAGCCAAGCGACAAGAATATGGGCGACAAGCCACACACTGAACTGAATGAGAACACAATAGCCTGAGTGGTGCGATACGTCGCACAGATTCAAGCTAGTAAAGCTATTGTGGATAATACTCAAGACCAAATATATCAAGTGATATACATATTTTTTTCTTTTGCTCTAGTAGAGGAGCACTATAATAACACCTAGGTGTTACTCATAGTGACTGAGCACTTGCCGGCTGAGGATCTTCCTCAACTGACAAGCACTGCGATGTATACCAACCCCCTCTACTCTTCAGCCACTCCCTACCATCTGCCTTGAAGTTAAGACTCTGATCTAATGCTTAATAATGACGTGGTGTTGAGTTCCAAAGTCTCCAAGACTAAACATTCTCCACTGCACGCTGCAAGGGAGTTTAAATATCCCCAGGCTAGCAATCTTGCTAAGCACCTGGAGGTGTACGACGCGGACGCTGCGCGTCGCAGCCTCCATGACGGAGGCTCCAATCCCTGTGACAGGTGACCAGTAGGGGCTGGTAACCAGCCCCTACTGCTTTTTGTTCTGCCTTTTGGGTCCGGTTTCTGGGGATTTTTAGTGGGTATGGACATGCAAGTCCCACAGTATCCTCCTGGGGGCCACATCTCTTAAGGTTCTCCATAACTGGGTTCCCCCCACAGGCTGGTTAATGCGTCAAAAAAAAAGTTCCCAAACTTCAAGTTTTTAAGCTGCATCATCGAAACTGAAGTTCCTCAATCCATATGCTGTCGAGATAGGAGTCGACTGATCTGATCCAAATCCTGAGATCAGGACTTGCAAAATTCGGAAATGTAACACTCAATGTGACGACTCATCTGACAACTCGCAGGAAATATGCCCCCAGAGCTTGTTAACTCAAACTTCACTGAACCTTCGGAACTCTTACTAATGGGATGAGAGCCTGAGCTCGGATGAAAATCCTCGCGCGACCAAGCCGACAAGTTGCAGGCTGCAACTTGCAGCGGTACTTGCTACTCAATGGTACTGTAACACTACCAGGTGTCATCTGCTGAGGTCCTCAGCAGATGACAAGGCAGAAAAGAGGAGAAAAAGATAGACACCCGGCCTAGCATGTGAGTGTCTCAGAATTGATACCCTTCCATACACCTAACCAGACCAATTTGATAATTCGACTTACGACTACATAGAGTTCGATAGAGATGAATGAAATCACTACATCGTGATGGAGAATAGGATGTTCATTTACGTGCTTGAGGATGACAACAATAGACTCGGCCACAGCCGAAATGGGAAACATACGTTAACAATTAACGGTTAACCCGATCGCAAGCACAGCTAGGCCCACAGACATCCAACGATACGGATCAGGAACGCCAAACATATCAAGATCGCGTCCACCGAGACTGAATATGATTCCGGCAGTAAAAACATAAACCATTATATGGTACAGGCAAGCGAGGACCGCAACGACAAACATTATCACGAACCGGTTCCTCATGATGTGGGTCATTCGCAGACACAATCCTAACACAAGTGGCGTTCTGCATGCTAATAGTATGATCGCCACCAAAGCGTCACGGACGAGCACGTAAGCGGGTAGTCTATCAGAAGGCGCCCCATGACTCGAAGAGATGGAGAGGACGGCCGCAATATGTGGAGCAATCAGGCTGACGTATGGGAACACCAGGAGCGCGAGAGCTTGCGGGACTAGAATATGCTGCCGTGACCAATTTCGTAAGAACATCGTGCGAACATTTCTTTCGAATTCTTGCTCCGAGCCGTACCAACCTTCGACTATACCTGTTAACAGTT